AAGTCCATTAGAGGTGAGACTGTTACTGCGCATGTCATCCATTTACAGTGTCCCTTTAAGATTAAGCTGAGCACTAATGAAGCTTTGAATAACCCAGCACAGGCGATAAAAATAGTTTAACCTGAACATAATATGTATTAAAGCAGATTTAAAATTATAATTATCTTTTATTAATAACCTTTTAAATTTTTTAAAATTATAAATAAATGTAAATGATTGTAATTWGCTTTGTTAACATTTTTAAAAATTAAATATTGACTAAACCTTTTATTTTTAAATATCATAAACCATTATCGTGCAATGTTCYAAACTCCTATCAGCTCTTACAAATATACAACAATATTAATTGCCAATATTGGTGTGTTGTTGACAACAAAGATTATGGTAGACTTACATGTTCCATTGAAGACATTTTAAAGGTAAAATCTAAAACTTTTAGTAGTCTCATTCTAAATTTCATACTAGATAGCTCCATAAAACATTCTTTACTTTCTGCATGGCAGCTTTCACCTTTCATTTMACACAATTCATGCTGGACACTTTATTTTGGTTGGTCATTYACTTAAACTTTTACTTCTAACCTGCACCATGACAATAGTTTGTATCATGAGATTTTTTTTTGAAATAATGAAAGTGCAACTTKTAAACCATTCCAAATAAGTATAAAAAAATAAACTTAATATTGAAATAAATAAGTTCAGTTACTGTTAGTATAACAATATGGATATTTCTTCATTTTCTAATAATGCACCATATATCATTCATAACTAGCTGTAGCTAATACTTTATAACAGAGTTCATCAAAATGTTATTCCCAGGAGGACATTAATTTTGCTCATTTTCGTGCACTTATGCTTCATTTAGAGAAAACAAGAGAGAGGACACAGCACTTCTAATAATTTTTTTTAGCACTTTACTCTCATGCATGTGCTCTTGCTTGCTGTTGAACAATTGCTGTTACAAATTGGATTACACTTAACTTTAATGTATCAACCTCCTTCTTCTAGGATCGACTTTTAATCAAAGGGAAAGACAAGATTATGGGAGCAGGAGAGTCAATKCGAGGTGCTGGAAGACGAATTAAGCGTGCATTGTCACCCAATCCCTATTTGGATGATGACTARTATGAAGAACCAGAATCCCTTTCAGACGAGCCATCGAAAAAGATGAAATTATCCTTTGAGCCAGAAATCTCAAGTGATGAAGAAGATTAATTACATGATGGTCATTATATATAATTATAATAATATTATTATTATTTACATACAAATTATATCTAGTTTCCACAATCAGTGTCAGTTGATACAACTTGTTGCTTCAACTTCCTTTAAAACAGATACAAATGGCATAGAATTTTCTCATTGTCTTGCTGATTCAGTATGTTTTAACAAGGTAAAAATTGATTTCTGGAAATTTGTCTGGTTTTTGTAGGTAAATGTAACTGCCAATGCATGTATCTGAGAAATGATGAGTGAATTGTTTTGTTTGATTGTATGCACTATAATACAGGCCTACCTTGATTGCAGGTACATGTAATTCCAATGTTTTTAAAGCCAAATAACATCAAACATTGTTGAATGAGACCAAAATGCTTTCAKACTCCATCCAACATGTTCTATCCAGTTTCCATCAGGCTATAAGGTTGCCTAGTGATCAGTAATGATCATTCGTTTGGGTTTTCAAGTTATGCCATTTTGCTGAACAACTAAATAGTGTGCAAAATTTTCTGGTCATACTATTTTAATTCACAAAAMTCTATTCTTGAGTGATTGGTAGAGAGATTTCATTATACAGCTGAGTACTGTGTAATCAGACATTACTATAATAGTAGTTTAAATCAATTAAGTCTTTTGGCTGCTGAGACAACTAAGCTGGTGATCATTTTGAACACCTTGAGCCCAATAATGCATGTACAAAGGGCTCTAACATAAGTAATAAAGGTAAAGCTAGATATAATAGTTTATGATACAGTGATATTGTGGCATATCAGAGCTAGAGCAGTAATAGTTTCCTTCATGGTTCCCTACACCATCTTGAAAATAATTGTCTAGTAGGTACAGTAAAAGGCTTCTATCACTGCATGCTCAACAGTTGTCTTGCTTTGATGCAAAGGCAGAGCTAACTGATGTCGCAGGGAACCATGAAAAGACTACTATGAATTTGCAAAAACAATTAAAAAAATGAATAAACAAAAAGAACAAGTATAGCAGCAATATAGCTCAAGATCAGTAATGATGAAGAGATTTATTATACTACAGTTTGGTCTATGATTTTAGTAGCGCACTTTTGATATTTTTGTTTAACTAACAAGTGTTGCAAAAGAGGTTGTTTAAAAGTGGGCTATTATTATTTGATCTGCTGCTGTTGATGATTTGCATGAGATGAAAGATAATCTTCATTGTTTATTTGTAACTGCATGCCAAATGCCAGCTTTGAACTAAACTAAACATTTCAAAGAAAAGGCAATCCTTTGGAATMCAATGCAGGGTACTACCTTAAAATACCTCTGATATGCTACAGAGAGAAATGGCAAAATTTAACACAAATTAATATATAAAGTGGTTTTGCTCATTAAATTCTATTTTGATATTTATTTCTTATAGTCAAGCGCAATCTACTATTTAGTATTTTTAAGTGTAAAAAAGTATTTACAATGCTCAATCTTTGAGACAAATTATATTTAGTAGGAAACAAACAATATACCTGTAAAATAGATAYGTAAGACCTGGCCAGTTAATGGGGTACTAAACATGAGCCATTTTCACCATTCTTTTTTAAAAGTACTCCCTTTGACTCCATTAAGTACTTTGGCTGCACAAATTAATATGGCGTGACCATTCCATACAACTTTTAATTACCACAATAAACTATCAAGTGCTAAATATTATGCTAATTCCTTTGTTTTCAGTTGTCTAATCAACACTAGTTAGCAGACATATATTGATGTATTTCACAGGTTATTGTAGGCACTCTATTGAAATATAAGTTATAATTAGAGAGTATTCATTAACTGATTGCCTTATTAAAAGACTAAAGTCCAAGAACTATGAGATACAAAAAACCTCAATTTATTGTATTTTCAAGTCAATGTTTCTTGATATTCATGCTTTTTTTGTTGGCTAACAAGTTTGCCAGTACTAAAACAATGTGTAGAACAAGAAACACTGAATGCAAACTTGATCAGTTGAGTGATTTTGCATTTCATATTTATTGCCCTTAATATTAGTACTGACTATGAAACTTTTTGTAGAATAATATAACTTTTTGGTAATAATATTTGAATTGAAACACTATATGTTGGGTAGAAATAACAAAATAAAAATAAAAAAAGGTAATTTATTTCTACAAACATTATTACATTATGCATACATTTTCATTGTGAAAACTGGGTCACTGCCTTGAACCTATCATATCTATAATCATATTTATAATTAAAATTTTGAATGCTGTGTATTCATGACATAAGACATAAGTTCTAGTGACAGTATACCTTACAAACTGTGAATGCTATAAGAAATGCTGGAAGAAGCACCATAATGATTCCAAAACAGTTCATCATTGGAGTGATTGAGACATTCTTCACTACAGCTTTAGCTTGGTCCCACTTGTGTGGCCCTTGTATCCTCCACTGTGCTGCACCACATGTACCTACCARTAGTCTCCAAGCCAYRGTAGGATTCCTCCACAATTGAGGTTTGGCACCAAAATGTGATGCCACATCATCAATGTATAATATAGGATCCTGTTGTATGGTGTGACGGYCTGATGGATAGTAGCGARTTTGGCTGTAATGACGGTCTTGCTCAATCTCCTCTGACATTCTTTCTTTTGRGGGAAGTTTTGTTATCCCTTTGCAAAGAGCTGAAAACCAGCGTGCTTGAATTTCTGAAACTGGGAGAAGTCCTCCTGAAGCAGGTTGAACAAAGCCAATAAAAGCTATACTGGGGCCCAACTCGGGAGAAAACACATTCTTAAAGAGATTCATTTTGTTGGTGCCCTCTTCAACGACCTGTGACTTAATGTGGTGTGATAAAAATGGAAGGCTTATAGAGTACCCAGTACAGCAAATAATAGCATCAGCTTCCACTTTAGATCCATCAGTAAATACCACATCTTGTTTCTCTAGTTTGGCAATGCTGGGTTTGATGTGGATGTTTCCTCGTTGAATGTGGTGAATTAGGGTGGGACTTACTGTCAATTGTGTTTGCAATGCTCCCATTTTGGGGTTTAAACCCCATTTCCATGGACTACCAAACACACACCTACAGATCCAGCCAAACACCAMGCTAGATAATTGCCATGGCAACCACAGGAAGGCTCTGCAGGCATAGTGATCTGTTGGATACCCAGCGACGTAGTTAGGGACAACCCAAGCACCAGAGCGAGTGCTGATATGAACAGGTTTAGTGCTCCCCATCTCAGTTGTATTCACAGCCACATCAACAGCACTGTTWCCAATACCAACCACCACTACCTTCTTTCCAATGAGCTGATTGGTTGCGGCATCTTTGTAATCAACACTATGGAACAGTCTTCCTTCAAATGAATGTTGTCCATCAAATGATGGCATATTAGGAACAGTATGATGCCCTGTTGCTATAGCAACATACTTGAATCTAAGTGTTTCTGTAGTGTCATCAACTGTAACTGATGTCACACACCAGAGACCATCTTCTTCTGATCTCTCAATARTCACAACATTGGTGTTGAATCTGATGTMCCGCATGACYTCAAAGTGTTTGGCATAGGATTCAACATACTTCAGCATTTGTGAATGATGTGGGAAGTCTGGGACATCAGTCGGAAACGGAAAATCAGAGAAACAGTAATTGACTTTGGAGACATTTCTGAAARCAAAATATTAATGAAACAGATTTAGACCATATTAAACTGAGAAGTGATCAAATGACAGAACAAATAAATGATATAATAAATGAACAGGAATAAATGAATGAAAGAGCAACAGGATAATTGATAAAATGATAGAGGACCAAATCAGAAAATATCTTACATGTGAGTAAATCTCATTACACCATAAGAATTCTCCCTGAAGTGCCACAGTCCGCCAATACCGTCAGACTTTTCATAAACGACAATGTTGAATTTGTCATCAAGAAGACATTTAGCTGTGGTGATTCCCGAGATACCTCCACCAATCACTGCAACATCGTACACTTTATCTGAGCACATGATATCTGCACACGGTAACTATCAGGTAAACTATCTGGGTAACTATAAAAGAATTTATTCTCATTGTTAAATTAATTTTGTATTGTAAAAGTTACTTAATAAGTTAATAGTCAATTCACAATCAAGCATCCACGTTCACGGAATTCTCTYGCTTTTTGTCAAACATATCAAAACTATAGTTAAAACATTTATAAAGATATATGCAAAAAAGTAACTTATCTACTTACCGTAATGCAATGTCAAACTAACCTTTTTCCAATCTTGGTTATAACCACTGATAACAATGACTTATAACCATAACCCGATAACCCTTGCTTTATACCCTGCTGATGCCCCAGTTCCTCTCGACCATAGGAAGTCCATATCAAACGTTTTTATGAATATTTCATTAAAATAATGTCATAAGGTACTAGCACAAGACATTTGAAAAGAAAGACAGATCTTTCATATAAACAGGTCTATTGCTTTTTATATTATTCTACCGGTTAATTTGTCACGATTTTTCTGAATTTCATGAACATATTATAAGTGATATATGTTCCAGCCAATCAAATTCAAGGTAGTTTCGCGCCATTTTCAATAAGGACGAAAGTTAATATGGCGCCAACTGGAGTAATGGATGGTGATAATCAAGACGGTAAATCTCGATTCTCTTTACTTTGATTTCATTGATGTTTGCAGAATTAACTCTTTAACATGTTATTTATCTTTTGGATAATTTTTATCGCTAGATTCACTTGCTTCTCGGCGATCAAGGAGATCTAAAAAGCAAAGTAGTGGAGCGAACGCTTTGGAGAAAATTAGGTGAGCTTTATGAAACATATTTATAGCTTAATTGAACACTTTAGGATGATGATTCATTCATTTTATCTGCATCAAATTGCTTGATTTATATATTGCAGGAAATTTCGTGAGACTGGTGAAAGATCTTCATTTGAGGTTTGTTGTTTAAGGTTTATTTCGGTTTTATAACTAGGATCTATTCAGACCAAAGTCAGTTTCTTAAGCTTATAAGCTTTTATGGTAAAAGTTTAAGTAAGTCATGATTATATTTAAGTCTCCTACATTATGTACACTCCAGAGCTTAAAATGTAGGTAATTTCAGATTTTTTTTAAAATTAAAAATGATACAAATAAACGAGTTATGACCCAGTTATTAAGTGAAGCTCAGCAAATCCATCWCTAGGTTGGAGATGTTCAAGATGTTTATGAAATTGTAAATGAGGATCAGTACTCTGAGATCGTAAGAAAGCGTCAAGAGGATGATTGGGTGATAGACGATGGAACAACAGGTATGCAAAAAGATCATTTGAATTGAATGAGAATGGAAAGAATAAGAAATTGTTAAGTAAACGTGATGGGAACATCACAAATGAATATAGCATCCTGAAACTTTTTTAAGATTGACTTGACATCTGAGAAGAAATAATMTACCATGTATTATARTGWTTMGTTTGTCTTGTYTAGAGGGATATGCRGATGATGGAAGGGAAATATTTGATGACGAGCTCGATGAAGCCCCGCAGAAGAATGCCAAGAAGCAACCTAAAAAGACAGTTAGTATCAGAATTTCTACACTTGTTGTTATGATTGTCAGTTCATAGATGCTTGTATTTTAGATGTAGTGTTCAACTCATTGCTCTATTATTTTTTGTTTGCTTGTTGATWATATGTAAACCATTCATTCATTCATTTTTCATTCAGAACTCACACAATAAGTTATTTGACCATTCATCCATCCTTCCCAACATCCATTCATTTATTTGTTCATACTATAAATCAATCCATGGATTCTATATTTTAGAGTGTCAAAAAGCCTACAGTTAAGCCAAAAACAATCAATAAAATGTTTCTTGCTGCCAGTGCAAAAGCCATGAAAAAAGAGGTACAGAYTTTAGTTCTTTGGACCCTGGTTAATTTTTATGCATGCTAAAGTGTGTGCTGTGATTCTGGTTTTTCATTTTAGTCAGAAAATAAGCAGACCATAGGAAATGATGATTTTCTTGATGATCTGCTCAAGGAGGTTGAGGTAAAGAAYCACATTAGAAAGTCATTTCATATATACTTATTATTAATTTTTTTACTGCATTGCCAATCTTTATTTTCCTGTGATTAAGCTTAATAGTGTTCTACAATGTACCTATCTACATTCTGCCTATGTGCTAAATTACTGACAGCTAACTAAGCTCATGATAAGTTGATTTGTTGATTGATACTATATATTATAGAACCCAAGACCACAAACCATCAAAATACCTAAAGCAAGGGCAAATCCATTCAGGTGAAAAGTTGAAACAATATGCACTATYTTTTAGATTTCTTGACATTTTTTATCAGGGCAATGAATTGAAATACATGCACATCATGTCGTTGTCTAAATTGTGTATGACATCATTTTTATTGTAGGACTCCCCCTGGAGGCATGAGTCATAAAGCGCCACCAAGACGTCTTCAGGTAATGCAATCCGTTAAACTAAACCTAGCAACAGTAAAAAAAGTAAGCTTGCTATCTATAAGAAAAAGATGAACCTTGATCCGTATGAGCTTGAGTCCTATGATTTGTCTAATGTTATGACTTATAATGATGTTTTTAATCATGATGCAGTCAGCAATGAATTTCTCAAGACCGCAACCAGTAGAAGTCGCAAAGACAACCAGGCTTGTAGGTCAGAAACGTAAGGCTGTGAAACAAGAACCTGTTGATTATYAAGACAACAATAATGACAATTATGGAGGATTGGTTGGTGTGAGAACTGATGATATGGATCACAGTAYTTTTCAAGAAGGTTGGTGTGTAGAAACTGATTCYAATTATAATACTTATTGTATTCTGTTAGWTGTAATGTAAACTTTCAGCAAGGTTTACCAAAACTAAGGCAAACTAGTCTTTCTTGCTCATTCCTGTCATGACAACTGACTATGAATTTTGATATGTTAATAGATATAAATGATGTACAAGACATGTGCTATGATATGGATGACAATGATGACCTTGCAGAGGCAGCATTGGAAGAACTTGATGCTGCTCCTGAAGAAAAAATCACACCCAAAGAGGTCAAAAAAGAAAAGGTATTAAGATAATCCGGGCTGTACATTTATTTATTGAGTGATCTGTCTTACTAAAGATACATGTATTTATATTTGTTCTTTTTCTTTCAAGATGGAGGTTAAGGATGAAGTAAAACCATTGCCATCAAAGTATGCAACAGTATATACACAAGTCAAATATGCATGAWTATTATTTATCATATTATGAATATTGATTTATGGAAAACTTTTCAGGAGGATTGAGCTTGATGGTGGGTCATCATGGGAAACCATATTAGGACAGGAAGACACCAAACCAGAGGTACTGAGGGGGATATCATGACAATGAAATCTCAAAAGTATATTGTACTGTTATATCCAATAGTAAAGATTATTATCTGATGCAGAACTTTMCCATTTCTTTGGTATTCTCCAAATGGAGAAGAGCATCATTACAATAGATAATTATTGCGACCCCTGACACTAAACCACAATGATTTTTATTGTATTGTAGGTTATGATGGATGTGATGATTGATTCTTCATCTCTTCCTTTAGAAGAAGTCAATGGTATGAAGAAGTCCTTGATATGAATGTTGTTACGTTAAACTTTGATATTTTGTTGATCATGTTTGTTTTTTTTTATTATGACTAATATTAATCATATTATTATACTTTTCACAGGAGAAAAAGTGCTAAAACTGTACTGGTTTGATTCATATGAGGACAGATTTAGGCAACCAGGTAAAATATTGATTGACCTCATTACTCATAACCTTGTCCTTACCCTCATCACGATTACCATTTTATGACCCCAGTTGTCATCACTATTTAGATATTGGTCTCATCATTTATCCTTGATTAACTTGTTGAAATAATTGTTTTTTTTTATTTTGAAGGTGTTGTTTATTTGTTTGGAAAAGTAAAAATTGAATCAGCAAACAAGTTTGTTAGGTAAGATCTCTGATTACAAATATTTTTCAGTTCTTCATTTATATCAATATGTAAGGTCAACAGTTTACTTCTTTCTCTTTTCCTTTACTACATTTCCTATTGTTTTGGTTGTTGTATATTAATTCATTCCTTCAATTTTTATTGTTTCCCTCCTCTACTCCCTGTTTTTCCTTTGTTCCTCTTGGCAAGTTTTTTKATGTACTTCATTGTCTTTCTTTATACTAGCTACTTCTTCCATGGAGTGTTGCTTTGCCTTTAGTTGTTTCATCTTTTAKCATTTTTACCATTATGTCTCTGTATACAATATTTTAGTTGTTGTGTAGCTGTTAAGAACATCGACAGACATATTTTTCTCCTGCCAAGAGAAAAGGTGATTGAATTAAAACAACACAGTTATATTGCTCTTGAAATATTAGGTGGTACAGTACAATTTATTCTAATACATGTGAATTAATGTCTCTTTAGCGTCGTTCTGTGGATGGTTCAGGAGAACCAGTACTTATAAAAGATGTTTATGAGGTGAGTTTTAGTTTTATAAAGCCTTTATAATTAAAATCTTAATAAGGCTCTGGACTTCAAGTGCATTCATGTGTACTGTATTTCAAAAACTTTTCTTTTTTAAAGGAATTCAATGAAAATATTGCCAACAAGAATAAAATTATGAAYTTTGTTTGCAAGGTAAACTCTAAATTCTTGAATGAGACAATAACAAAGCATTTGAAACCTTATTTTAATTTCCTTTTTTTGTTTTTAGACTGTCACAAAAGATTACTGTTTTGAAGTCCAAGARGTTCCTGCAAGCTCTGAATATCTAATGATTAAGTATTCTGTATGTTTTATTTGGTGATGATATTAGATTTTCTCCTAACTTCTTTAGGAAAGTTATGATTTATCATAAAAATAAAAAAAACATTACCATCATTCCCCATAGAGGGTAGTCTCCAGGCAGCCATGAGTTGTGACAGAAACTAAACACGGCTGCAAGGAGACTATATAGAGGGATCTTCCATAATCCAATCATAGTTACTTAAAGTAGCTCAGATGCAATATTGTCATGTAACTGAAGAATTATTTTGCTTTGTTTAGGCTGATTATCCTCAACTACCTGAAGACCTGCAAGGGGATACTTTCAGCAAAGCATTTGGAACTAAAACTTCAAGGTTTGAATTTATCACTTAATGTTGTTTAATATCTATCTATTCACCAATCCATTTATTCATCTGTTCATTCCATCATTTCATTCTATAACACTTTCAAATTTTGATCAATTTGATTGGTTCATTGATTGTGTTAATTTTAATGTTGTAGCTTAGAGCAACTTCTACTCAGCCGTAAAATCAAAGGCCCTTGTTGGCTGAATATCAAAATGCCCCGTAAGTAAAAACGACAAAAAACAGATTAGCTTTGTGTTCAKCTCTTAACTTTTTATGATGTTTTGTTTCAGAATTATCAAGCCAACCAGTCAGCTACTGTAAAGTAGAGGTAATACCATTGCTTGCTTGCTTACTCTATTTTTGATAAGTTTTTTGATTTGTTTTGTTTTTGCAGGCATTTATAAACAAGCCAGATTTCATTGACGTTGCCCAAGAGCAGGMTGACCCTCCTCCATTTGTTGTCATGAGTCTGAGTGTAAGGACTCTTCTCAATCCAAGAACACATTCACATGAGGTATGTGCAYTTTGTTCATGTATTTCTTCATTTAAGTATTTCTCAATTTTGCGCATACAAGCCACCTTAGTACCTCTCTATTTATTCACCTATTTATTCATTTATTCTTTTAACTATTCACCCATTTTTATTTTCCAAGATCATTGCCATCTCAGCACTGATACATCAAGATGTTTATGTTGATAAAGCAGCTCCAAAGGAGAAATATCAGTATCGATTCTGTGGTAAATATGATACATTCTTTTTTGAACAATCAACAAAATCCTTCAATAAAATGTTGCTTGACCTGTTATGATAATAATGCTCTTTGTTTGTACCTGCAGCTGTCAGTAAACCAAATGACAAATTATACCCATTTGACTTCAAGGATATACTTAAGAAAAAGGTAGGTAAATACATATAGATTCAAGTATGTGTTATAAACACACAGGACTTTATTTAAAACCTCTTTCTGAACTAGACAACTCTGACATAGTAACATTTGTATCCTGCAGCAAATCAAAATTGAGGTGATGACGTCTGAAAGAGCTTTATTGGCATTTTTTGTTGCTAAGATTCATAAAATTGACCCTGATGTTATGGTGGTATGTATTTATCAATGGAAATTATTCAAGTGCTTTATTCGCAGTTGCATTTTGCTTTAGATGGTTACATTTTAATAAAAATGTCATGATGTGACCAACTTCTTGTGGTTGAGAGGCTATTGTAGCAATAAACTCCTTCACAGCTCCCTCAACATCTTCAAAGGTAGCTGTGTCCTAATTTGTATTGAAGCTGTATAGATATTTAATGAAAATTTCATGATGTGGTCAAGTTCTTGTGGTTGAGAGGTTACTGTATCAAGGTAGCTGTCATAGAAGCTATCAGACAAATGGTGAGCTTGCAATGACAGGATCTAATATCAATAATAATTATTGGTATCGGTATCGGTAAATGGTATTTATCATTGCATACTCACCAGTTGTCTTGCTATACAAATATACATGATGTCTGAAAATCGACACAAGAATGGAGGAACTAGTAAGTAGTTCTTTGTGTTTTTGCACCATAACTCCCTGCATCTGTCTATCTTTAGGGTCATGARATCTTTGGCTTTGACTTAGATGTMCTCATGCACAGGATTAATGCATGCAAGGTATGTTTTCTTCTTTTATAGCAAAAAAGTACTTTTAATTTAAAATGTTCTTTTGTTGTGCAGATTCCACAGTGGTCTAGACTTGGACGACTAAAGAGGGCCATCATGCCTAAGGTACAGTGTCTTAACATTGGCGATAGCATAATCTAGGCCAGCAAAATCTGTTATGCCAGGGTATAGTATTYAAACAGTATTGGTATTTTTCTAGGCGTACACCCATGGTAAAYGTGGTCATCATGGRGACCCAAACATAACTTGTGGAAGATTACTGTGTGATGTCAAGATCTCATCTAGAGAACTCATTCGCAGCAAGAGTTACGACTTGAAAGGTTTGTTATTTTACAACACACTGGGTTTCAGTCAAATTGTCATGGCTTAATTTAGTTGATTGGTTTGAGAACTGCATTTGTCTTACCTTATCTTAAARGTTTTGTCAAGTCATGGCATTGTTCAGTAGCAGGGATAACAGCAGGAAAAAGAATCCCACAGGGATACACTACTGTATTTTATAACTAGGGCCTAAATGTCATATTTATACGTTTCCCTTTCCAGGTTACACTTCAACATAAGCATTAACATTTGTTGTTGTTGTTTTTAACCAAAACAGAACTTTCTCGTGTGGTTCTMCAAACTCCTCGGCAAGAGATTGACCAGGACGACATTGGCAATATGTACAAGTATGATTTAGAATAATTACTGAAGTGTTTATTTAGTTACGTGTTTCTTGTGTCTTACAGAATTGTTTGTGAATTTTATTTTTAGTACATCACAAGAATTGTTGTACCTACTAGAACTGACTACGGTAAGGAKTCTTAGCTTGGATATAGATATCACGCCGTCAACGCAGCGTATTGCAAATGCGTCTCTAAAAGTATTGCATGCATTGCTCTCTGTTCTTGTGTAACTTTGTGTAGCAGGGGATGATGCACAAAATAACGCCCGAAAAGAAATATCATCAAGAGAAACGATAATTTTAGTGTTTATGATTGTGATTATTTAGRGATGAAAGCAATAATGTTCTCACGCTGAAACAACTGCCTTTTGATTAAGTATTGGCATTGATAATTTTGATAATGATGACAATTTTGACCGATTCAATGATAATAATATATTGTGTTCAACAGATCGATTCATTATTGAGTCTGKGAATTATGTACGAACTAAACGTAAGTCTATTCTTATTCAAGTCTATTTTTTTTTTTTCAATTTTTAGAAGCTTTTAATAAATTTTTTTGATATTGTTTTTGTAGGTGTTACCTCTGGCTCACCAAATCACATGCATTGCCGGCAATGTCATGGTAAGGGGAATGAGACTATAGTCCACGTAGTCCACGTATCTTTGATTTTTCACTAATAATTACACCATCGTTGCAGTCTCGGACTCTACTCGGAGGTCGTTCGGAAAGAAACGAATTTTTACTGCTTCATGCATTTAGCGAAAAGTAAGTTTTCCGAGTATTGTTGATTTGCGTCCATGCGAATTTAAGCAATCAATTTTTACAAGTTTAGGTTATATATACAGATTATTTCCAAATTCTTATTTTTCTCGTTTTTTATCTTATTTTGAAGGGGCTTTATTTGTCCAGACAAAAACTACAGTAAGAAAAGCGTCGTCAATGAAGACGACGAATCTGCGACTACGAGCAAAAAAGGGAGACGGAAGCCTGCGTATGCGGGGGGTCTGGTACTTGAACCAAAAAAAGGTGAGGTGGAATGAGCTTTGCAAAGATCAAAAGTTGTTGTGGGCTTTATTATGATGATTTTTTTACTGCCATTGTTGCTGTTGCTGCGATTGCTCATGTTTCTGTTGTTCTTGGAGTAAAAGCGGTTGCTGTTGCTATGACTTAATATGGCTATACCGCAACAAAACGTGATTGGAACCACCCCGGTTTTACAACAGTTCTTGCTGTGAACATAAGAAGAGTTCCATATATAATGTGAGCGACACTGAAAAAYCCTGTTTTATACTTGTCCAACAGGTTATTATGACAAGTTTATCTTGTTACTGGACTTCAATAGTTTGTATCCGTCAATCATCCAAGAATACAACATTTGCTTCACTACAATTGACAAGAGCGCTTCACACACTACCGGGGTGAGTATGAATTTTGTAGTTTCTTTGTTATGGTCACTTTATTATTTACATTTCTATTTGTTATGAAACTTTTGCTTATTCACAAAACTTGSAGGATGACGAAGAAGAGATCGTGGACCTACCCGACGCTTCTRTAGAACCAGGAATTCTCCCGACAGAAATCAGAAAACTCGTAGAAAGACGAAAGCAGGTCAGGTCAATGATATTGCAGGGTATTTCATTTAAAAGTCTTAATATGGAACTCTCACTATAACGAACACCTCCGGGACTGAACTTAAGTGTCCGCAATAGCGAGTGGCCCCTGCTGTGTAGGGAGTTATTTTTCAAGCGTCCGAAATAACCGTGCGTCCGTAATATTGGAGGGTCTGCATTGCGAGATGTGAATGTTGTAGAAAATTTTATGTCTTCATTTGAATGGTTGTTTTATTCTTTAATTCTCTTTTAATTCATCAGGTTAAAGGCTTGATGAAGAGTGTTGGAAAYGACACAGACAAGTACATCCAGGTATGTAGTACTATTTTTACTTTTTTGCCAACGATTTTTGTTTTGCATTTGTTGAAACAGCAAGAAATTAGTGAGAATGAATTAAGCGGCTCTGTTGACTAATTTATCTGTGTCTTTTTAGTTTGATATACGGCAAAAGGCGTTAAAGTTAACAGCCAACAGGTGAGTGTATCCCATGTGGGATAGGCAGAGATGTATGCATTTACGCATGCCTATTGGACTTTGGGGTTAACGCGGGAATGATTGCGTCAGTATAGCATTGTCAGTCAACTAGTTCTGTATATATGCGAATAAGACAATTTATGTGTTGTTTCATTTGTAATTCTCGTTCCTGCGGAGTTCTATACGAGTATACACATTCCTTCAGCAGACATCTAATACTTTGATTTTATTTTCAGTATGTACGGATGTCTGGGGTTTTCACATTCAAGGTTTTACGCCAAGCCATTAGCTGCACTCGTCACCAGTAAAGGCCGTGAGGTATGTCGTTTCTTGTCATGTAATTATGCGAAATGATAGAYTGAATTTCAGCTTCGTTCACCCAAATAAGTTTTTGCAAGTTTCACGATTTTGTTGCTCAAAAGGGCAAAGCGTTTCGACTTTTCGACACGCAAAAACGCGTAACCTTTTTTTCTTCGTACATTTTCGTTTCTCAGTTCTTTTCACTTTTTTTCAATCCTACATGAAATTATACAAAGTGGAAAAGTTGGCTTTACCTACATTTTGTAGGAATTTTGTATGTTTAGTGTTTCATTTTTGCCATGCAGTTTAATTTTCTCGTAGCATTGAATAATTACTGTGTTATTGTAAACGAACAAGGAAGTCGGATCCTTATTCTTTGAATATTTGTAGAAATTCCTCCATGTCAACACGACCGTCGCCATTAGTATCCGCGACTTCAATCATTAAGTCAATCTCTTCGCTCGTGTATTCTATATTTAGTCTGGTTAAAACTCGCTTTATCCCMGCTCCTTCAATATATCCTTTCTTCTCGCAGTCAAATTCCTCAAAAGCCATCTTCAAATCCGCTTCGTTGTCCTTCTCGCTTGTTATTTTTTCTACAAGATTGGAGAACATTCCAAAGTTGATTTCGTCGGTGGATGTGTTGCTGTCAAGTCCTTCAGAAATTAAAAATATATGTAATTGTTAGATAATTTTAAATATAACTTATCTCGCATCGAGTTATAGCATTGGTTATCAAAATCGCGCAAGTAGACTACAATTTGTTTTAAAGCATTCATCGAGAGCGCGCTCTAACGTCAGTTCTTTGYCTAGAGTGACAACGTTATCCCGTCAAACAAAGTACTAGTAGTCAAGGTGTAATAGTCAAACAAAAACCGGATAAAACAATGCAATTAGCGTGTTCTAAGGTGTAGTAATCTAACATCTTTTTCATGGGTTTAATGCCCTCAKTCTACAATGGCGTGCAACCATCTATCTCAACCTCACGTTGATGTAGAGTGATATAGAGCTAGAATTTTACGATTATTTCGCAGTTTTAAAAAGTAATAAAAGGCATAAAAATAAAAACACTACGAATTCGAAAGCTTTGTAAGCCAAAAAAATTGGGCATGTTAAGCAATTAAACTTACTGTGTTGTTTGAATGTGGAGAACAGCATTATTAAACAGCAGGGCGAGCTATTTTTATGAACTCAAGGAATGACTTTTGATTCCATAAAGTTTAGAATTGAAGCGAAAACGCTTAGTTTAAAGGARAAAGTATTTACTAGTGTTCTTAAGAATCTTCTTTGTAGTTTTTACCTCTTTAGCTACCGAGACAACCAACAGAGAAATTTGTTTGATTCAGAAATAGTGATAGTACCTGAACGCTTCAAATATCCTTCAAGTTCTCTTTCTTCGATTCTTTGGCCAAGTTTTAGGAGAGCTTCTTGAAACGATTTCACTCCAATTTTGCCATTTTTGTCATGGTCGACTTCATTGAAAGCTTTCTGTAACTTTTCTTTACTAAATTTACTTGACGTCTTCATGTTCCAATCCAGAAATGCTTTGACAAATCATACAACTTCAATGTTGAATTGTTGAATTGTTGAATTTTGAACTTTATTTCAAGTGAAGATACCATGTAGTCCAYGACGGGAAAACTTTGACAAGCTGTTTGTTATTTCAGCTGCTTTATGAGCTCAAAGTTATTAATTATTTAAAGTGAATATTCAATTCTTCAGAGAAAGTCTAATATTCAAAAATGCGTAATTCAGTGGTGTTAATTATCTGTTGTAATTTATACTATTCACGCTAGCTTATTTTCTGTATTTCCGGGGTATTTTACTAATCCCAAAGAATGCTTCAATTTAACTGAACGTTTAGGCGTAAAAACCTACTTAGTATTCCCTATTTAGTAAAAATATTTACTATGTCAGAAAGTTATCAGAATTGATATCCAAAACTTCTTGAAACAGGCATTATAGCATGAACTATTTTTATTTACTCCCTTTTAATATGAATTCTATAAGCTGCTATTTTATGGCGTAAAATTTTGACAACAGAGAACTTCTTTGACTTATATTGAGCTTGATTGTTCTGCGCTAAACGTCGTTCGCCCCGAAAATGTATTGATTGATTGTCTCTGTAATGACATGTTCATCTTCCTCGTGTATTCTTCGTAGCCTTTTATAAAATATCTACGTAGAGATATCGACTAYGTGTTCATCATCCTCGTAAAATCTTCGTAGCTGACATTCCCATCGCCATCGTAGTCGGCACCTTTGATCATGCTTTCKACCTCGTAGTCTCTGAAGTCTTGTCCTAATAATTTCAATACTCGTTGTAGTTCAGCAGCCCCTATGCAGCCGTTGTTATCACGATCAAAGACTTTAAACGATTCCATCATTATATCTTCTGGGTCTGTGTCTTGYAGATTCTTGGACATGAGTTGAAGGAACTCAGGGAAATCAATGGCACCATTGCCATCGGAATCTTAACAAGAAATAATTAGTCAGCATTTACCTCTCTAGTTCAGTCATAATGAATATTTTCAAGAAACTGTAGTACAATTTAGATACACATTTCATCACCAAACTCTACATTAAGAATAATAATAACTTTAATCCTTTCYAAATCAGTTGATACWTAGGATAAYATAAYATAAGATAAGATAGGATAAGATGTTGATAATGACGATGGTAATGATGACGTAATGTCGATGATGAAGTAATGATCAGATCAGTCAGCGGTCTTACCTATTTGGTTCATCATATCCATGAGTTCAGCCTCTGTYATATTGTAACCTAATGAAGTGACTAGTTTCTTGAGTTCAGTCGCGCTAATGCAACCATCTCCATTGTCATCAAAGACCAAAAATGCTTCTTTGATCTCTCGGACCTGGATTAAAATGATAAAAATAAAACAAAGCAAAAGGCAAAAACAAACAAACAAAAAAGAAAGAAAAAAAACATGGCGTTTGAATTTACTCCAAAGACTATTATGTTGCACTACGCGGCAAGTCCTCCCGCATATAATGAAAAACGTTGATATTTGCTTCAAAACGTCGGTGTCCTTGCATGATTACTGAGTTAGTCGAATAAGTATTTAAACAGTGACCTTAATTAGTCGAATAACTAMTTAAACAGACCTGATATAATTGTTGTCATCAACAACTTTCGTTTCTTTCATGCCCCGTTGTCAATCAGTGAAATAAATAAGTTAAAAAATACCTGGCTTTCTGTCAAGTCTAGTCCATTCAGCTCTTCAGGGCTTGGTGTTMTTGGTATAAATGTCGCCTTGTTTGTTGCAGCATCAGCGAATACATCGTCGTCTTCCGCCGAAAGCCGATCACTCTCCGAGTCAGTGTACGGGTCCTCGGAGGTAACAGTCAAACCCGAGCTTTTTGTTGAAATTCGGTGTGGAATTGGTTTTTCGTCGGTATTTTTCGTGTGCTCGTGGATAGGCGCGAGGCTAGTTGATTTAGTACTGCCTAGAAAAAGAATTCACATTATTAAGTCATCAGGGAAAATTTTAACAAGGGATTACACTCCCCTCCCCCCTACCTCTCCCACACAGTACCTTTTTTATCGTGCCCCTTTATTGGTTTGCCATTGTCTTCCGGTTCTTCCGCGATTGATGGGTACGAACGCCGATACATTGTCGTTATTTACCCAATATAGTCATCAATATAGAAGACGTTCTGAGGAGAGCAAATTGCAAGACTTGATTTCGGATAGATTTCCTTTGCGAAAAGCGACTGTATCATGATACACATCATGATACAAACATCAAAGCCAGACTTCTTCCCCTCCTTCCCTTCCCTTACTTAAAATTGCCAATCCGTTTTCTTAATCTTCTGATTTCTTTTCAATTGGATTCTAGATTATCCACCATTAGCAATTGATCCCTCTTAGGCTTAGCGGCGATGTATAAACTACTAAAATATTCTTTGTGTTTTCGAAATGATAACCGTGATAATGTGGACATGAAAATGATACTTAGATTCGAAGTTACATACAGCCTTTTGCAAAAATTATGAGAATTGCTGAAATATCTAAATATCATAATATCAAGTGCATGATCCCGCGCGATGCCCTTAGTCTCTTGCCTTTGTTGTTTAGTTTTTTTTTTGGCGACGGACTTATCCGTAGTTCTGAACATTTTCTTGATGTCAACAATGAATTATTCTAGCAAACCCGCGTGTTCCGGACAATGTGTGGATATGGATATTATGATATTTAGATATTTAGACAATTCTCATAATTTTTGCAAAAGGCTGTAACACAAAATTGTATGTGTATAATTATAAGTTTTGTTACGTATTTTCGTCTTGTATAACAATGGTCAAAAAGGTCTTGTATCATGCAAGTGTTTTCTGATCACTCGATTGAGAAATTCGGTCTCTAGTCATCCAACGAAAGAAAGTTGATGAAACTTTGACTTCAATTAGGGCTATTGATTTAGTCATAGGCAAAATTCATGTCCTTGTAAAATTACCATGTGGATCCAGACTTCGTACTCGACGTTCTGTTGCTAAAGTAACAACAACAGCACATGGAAAAGGAAAACATTCCACAATATCACAGAAACACAAACAACTTACCTTTCTGACGCAGACGTTTTCCTTAGCTCAAAGTTAGWCTAGTTAAAGCCGTCAAAGCTTGTTTTCGCTCTTCGTAACACACATCAATTGTCTTGAAGTTCAAAAAGTAATGAGGCTTTTCTAACCGGGCTGGTAATTATGCGTCAGTTTGACGGGACGCCATTGTGTCGGTATTCAAGGCAAACACTATGTAATCCTTTATTGATTTGTTTAATAATGGATGTTTTGTGATTAGRTTTGTATCTCGTGACTTTTCAAAGTGTAGCTGATTTATTAGAGGATCATGGRTTGATTGGGGCTTTGATATCACTAAGAAATGCATTCATGTGTTTAATATATCTTTAATACTTTTGAATGTTTTGTTTCCATGGAAGAAACGTTAATTAACTGGCGAGATAACTTCCTTATTTAACTTCGGGATCCCTGTGCTAAACAGAAGATGAAGAAAAACTATAATTCAGTGCCACTCTCTCCCCGTATTCAGTATAGAGTCGTTACTCGTCACCTCATCACTAACTTCATCTAAATCATTGCAATTTCTTTACCGGACATCAAATTTGCTGCCACCTATAAAACGAGGTGGCATTTTCACGATAAAGGCTAAATTTGATTTAGAAGCAGTTTGTGATCCATATCCGTTGTGATAAGGTTGATCAGTTAGTGGTTATTACTCAGCAGTAGGAACTCTTTGTATTCTTTGTATGCAAGTTCGCCGTAGAAACACACACGCTGCTCGGCTGTTCTTGCCGGCTCGCTTCACTTGACTGACACTTAATTAAGTTGGAAGTGAAGATTGATGTCAATATTATTGTTTATAGTATCTTTATTGATTTTGTGTTTAGAGATAAAAAAAGTAAATTCATATAATGTCTTTTCTAGATTCTTCTGAAGACCAAAGACCTGGTTCAACAAGTACGTTTNCAGAATTGTTTCAATGATCAGAAAAGAGAGTTTTTCATCTGTTTGACTGGCTTTGTTTTCAGGTTAAAGCAGAGGTTAATAAGCTGTATCGTCTTCTTGAGATTGATATTGACGGTATCTTCAAGTCTATGCTACTGCTGAAGAAAAAGAAGTACGTTTGAAAATCCGTACAAACAGGCAAACAAAGACATTTTTAATAAATAGACAAAAGGAAAAATGACTGAAAGACTGAAAAAATAAGCAAACAGGACACGCGAACAATAATATTTTTCATATTGATCATTATTCATTATTTTCCAGGTACGCGGCGATTACTATCTCAGAGAACAGTGACGGTAAGTATTTCGAGTGGAAAAGCCAAGTTTATTGGCATGTGCAACAACTTATATTGACTTCTGCATCTCTAGGTACACTAAATGAAGTTCCAGAGATGAAAGGTCTTGATATTGTGAGAAGAGACTGGTGCGACCTCGCTAAGGACACTGGGAAGTATGTTGTTGTTTATCTGTTGTTTGTGCAATGTCATTGGTATGCGGTCAACTTAGAAATAAACACAGACTACCTACAGACAAGTTGCAAGGAAATTTCTTAATTTGAAAATATCTTGTTTCCATAGCTACGTTCTCGCACAGATTCTGTCATCTCAGCCACGTGAGAACATACTGGACAATATTCACGAATTTTTGATCAAGAGTAAGTAGTATGACAAGTGATTTTGAAGTATCTTAGCAATGATTTCATAACGGTAGTGATGTTATTTATAAGAGTCACTATATGACGTTATCAGTAACGTTGTCACTCGTTTCTTGTGTTTACAATGTTAGTCGGTGAAGACGTTAAAGCTGGCAGCATAGACCTTGCTAAGTACATCATAAACAAGGTAAGAAACAACGTTAAACAACCAGGCTACATCGAAGCCTATACTACTGTAAATAAGCAAGAGATGCATTACTTGACACGGTCCATAATATGGGAACATTACCTATGAGCAATGCATCGGAATCCGAAACTTTCTTTGAAAGCGTATAGCGTATCCGTTTGTGGCCGTGTTAAGCTCCCAGGAGAGTAAAATATGCCATTTGCAGGCATACGCGAACTGAAAAAAAACATACATGCGTGGCTTCGTCAACGTCCTCGCTTAACGCAGAATGAAACAGTACACCCTGCGTCCCCGTATTACTCGGTGCAGAAGCCATACACTAAATAGTAGCGCAAATGGTAATCAAAATAGCGCACCGGACGTAATATACACACTCGTGTGCTGTGTCTTCTACGACATTCTTTTATATTTCTTGCAAACAAGTGTGTTATTATTCCTTATTATAGCAACTGACGAAATCCCCCAATGACTACCCTGACAAGAAATCCCTTCCTCATGTCCACGTTGCATTATGGATGATGAGTAAATCAAGAAAAGTCGGTGTTGGTGACACTATTCCTTACGTCATCTGTGACGTAAGTATTTATTTACCAATAAAAATCCACTCCTTGTCCAGAAGCAGTTATTTGATTTGCTTTTTTTTTCAGGATGGTTCAGTTCTTCCTGCATCACAACGTGCTTACCATCCCGATGAGTTTCAAAAGTCAGACTCTCTGAAGATTGGTATCCTTGTCACGTGATTTAGCTAGTTATATGTTATATACAACCCTACTCCTTACGGTTTTATACTAGCTTATATACGGTTATGTGTATAGTTCATTTGTGGCTCATCTATCATCATTAAATTCCTTAACTTTAACACAGACACCAAATACTACCTATCGAGCCAAGTTCATCCCGTAGTATCTCGTTTATGTGATCCTATCGACGGCACAGACGCTTCAAGAATCGCCGAGTGTCTTGGTATGTAGAAATGATCGGGTTGTTCCCAAATCTTAAATCCAGGGTTAWKTKAAAAGGTGGACTTGRTTAGAGGGGMTRACGGACACCCCTACCATTTCAAAGTGAAATTGTTCAAAAAAGAAAGATTCTTTTGTAATTTTAATTAATGCTAATAATTTCTCATAAAGGTCTCGACCCCTCCGGATATCGAAGCAGTTCGTCTCATCGTGATGARGAGGCTGACGCTCTTCTTGGCGGACAAGCACAGATGACCGATGAAGAGCGATTTAAGGTAGTTACCTATACATCGACTAAACTATAGATACAATTCATGCATCAGACACTCACTACACTAGGTGACTTAAAACTGAAGTTTTAAATCATTTCACAGGATTGCGCTCGTCTCATTGTTAAGTGTAATAATCCAAAGTGCGGTCAAGAGACGACGTTGGAATCTCTTGTTAATAATCAGGTCAGTTATTAACCTATATATAGGTACAGTAATAAAATAACGGTCGATTCTCATAAATGGCTGCCGTCTRGTTTGTAAATTTATTTATATATTTTGTTGTTGTTGTTCTTTACCCATCTCTACAGTTCATGTTTTGTTTTCGTGATTTCACCCAATAATACTCCATGTCATTCCAGGATCCTATAGAAATCAGCGCTCAATGCTCCGGTTGCAAAATTGTCTACAACGCTCCGACCATTGTTAATCAAGTGACCATCACCATACGAAGACACTTGAAGGAGTACTACGCAGTAAGTCGTGTCTTGTTAATGTCAATGGTTGTAACATTATTTTTGTTCCCATTTTGACAGCATGACAAATGATATTTGTTTCATTATAGGGATGGCAAAAATGCGAGGATCCTTCGTGTGATCATCGTACACGTCAAGTACCCCTGATACGTCACAGAGGACTCCCCTTGTGTCCTCATTGTCGCCGTGCGCACATCATCCCTACGGTAAAGCAACTTATATTATCGAAAATAAGTACGCGTGCTTGTGGATTTATTAAGTTTAAAACCAAGCGTCGACAGTAAATGATGCCGAAAACAAATGTTATCGCACTTTTCGAGTATTGTGCTTATCGTATGTTTCTATATCTTTTTATATTTATTGGAAGAAATATCGCATCCTTTGTGTTCTTTTWTATAAGAAGTGGTTAATCTTGAACATTTTTTCCTCAGTATTCCGATACCTCGTTGTACAACCAAATCCTGTACTATAGCCGTCTATTTGATGTAGATTACGCCWTGAAYAATTTGAGCAAAGACACAAGTAAGTGYAAATTGCATTCAGACGTTTTTCCTGACATTTTGTTACAATTTTGTCAGTCCAAGCTTTTCTACTCTAGCTCGACGAGTTATATTCTAATCTGAACAATACTGGCTGTAAAACAATATTAGTTTATTACAAACTGACTACTACTAATACAAATAATTGCACTTGTTCTTTGCAAGTGTTGTTTATTTTATTTTTTTATTATTATATTTTATTTTATTTTTTTGACATACTATATTTATGTATTTTATTGTAGAGCCTGGCACAAGTGGCCTCCTCAGACGACCAGACGTGAAAGAGTTCTACCGGATWCTTCACAACAACATTCAAAAACTCATCTTATCCAACTCGTACTCTGAAGTAAACCTCGCCAAACTTTTCAGTACTTTCATAATTTAAGTGTCATAACCGACAATTCGCGAGAAAGTTCCCTTATGCAATGCTCTTTTAAATGCTTGTAGATTAAAAGTCGGTTTGGCTTATCWGGTTGTGGTTGGCCCGGACCACACGATATCGCAAATTTTTGTCGTTGCGGATAAAAWAATGTACTGACTTGTCTCCTTCACAGCCTCGTTTTCTTGGAGTTCCTTTTTGGGAGAGACAGACATAAAAAGCGTCCTTTGAAAATTTCCGGATTCGGTCGGACAAGTGTGGACGCCACCCTTAATCGTAACAACGTGTAGACACGAACATTTTTGTATCCGTAACAAGAGAACTTGCGGATAAATCATTCCGTCATCACGTGAGAAGGACCAAGATTGTCCGAGATCTCGCGAATTGTACACACCAAAAAGTGTGCTGATAACTTAATTGTTCCATGTAAATGTCAAATTATTTTTATTGAATAAATCCGACCTTTCATTGGTTATATCCCGAGTTTGCTATATTTCMTGTTGCAGACTAATCAATTAAACTAAAAGAAACTCTTTAGGAAAGTTTACGAAAGTGAAAAGTCACGTGCAAGTTTTGTCACTTGGGAGTGTTACACACTTGCTTACTTCAAAACGACACGATGACATAGTAGTTCTCCGTCTTAATAGACGGGAGTGACCACAAAAATTTTTATATTAACGTTTTATGTGACATGCACTTTTGGAGTGTTTTTTTTAAATAGACCTTTTAGAAAACTACAGTAGTTGCGCGAATGGCCTGTGGTTTTGTACCAAAGCGAGTCAGAATCAGGCAGCAACTCAAAAATCAGTGAGGTTTTTTTTCAAGTGAGGGAAATAATTTTTGTTGAAAAAAGGCAGAATTTTGACATCCTTGGCACTCTTATTCATTTGAGGGCATCAAACAAGTTGCCCGGTTTGGCCTTTAAAACCGCGAAAAGGTCTATTGATTTGGGGTTTTCGTTTTAAATAAGCCTACCCATATTTGTTACAAAATGCTTTGATCAGTTCTTCTTCGTGTCGCCATTGGTGGTAATCTTCATTGATGTTCTGAATCTTTTCCATTCGGCRTTCTGAACTGTTTTGAAAGACATTGTACCTCCCATTTTCAAGAAAAACCTGTTCTGTTTGCGGTGCTAACACCAACAATCGTGCAATGGCGACGCCAACGGGCAAACTGTCGAAACTTCGTCTTTCTTCTGAATCCTCATCGGGGTGRAATCTTACAAGTCGCCTTGCAATCTCAAAAACAAACAACATGTAAACCTCATAGGTTATTCGACGAGCATGACCGATTCCCCTTCTGTCGTTGTATTCAAGAAGTTTCTCCAAATCTTTCCAAAATTGCCACTCTCGATTATGGTAGCTTTCCTGGATACGTCGCGGTATTTCGCCGTATTTAGGACTCTCTCCATWTACAAACAATATTCCGTTTCCAGGTTGACGCGTTGTTGGCCTTGGTTCCAGGCYAAAGATTATAGGATTATTTTCCAAGCCTTTTGAAAACAAAGTAAAGGAGAATTGCGTACCGAGATTCCAATCAATATTGAGAAGCTCTTCAAGAATACCAACAACTTGTCTAGTATCTTTCTTGGAGATGTCAAAAGAACGATCAGGACTGATAGACAAACGCTGGTTATTCGGCGAGAATTGAACAAAAAAGTTTTTATTGGCTTTTGCTTGGTGTTTGACTTCTCTGTCTTCGCCTGAATGGAGTGTCATGGCGTGAAATGACGATGATAGTTCTGCGTCAGCCATTGTGTACAATCACTGAGGAAACAAAAAAGTCTTATTTATAAAGATACTTCATTTATTCTAAGAAACACGCATCTCGCATTCACTCGTTTCGTAATACTGAAAGTGCATAGAGAGGATTTCGTATGAGTGGGACACCGTTTCCGCACGGTTACCGCACAGTTACCGAAACTGGCCTGAACAATTTTTGTGAACCAATGGGGCACTAGAATTTGGTTACAGTACGATTACGGTCACAGTACAGTACCGTCATTTTCCCACTCATACGAAATCCGCTCCAATGAGTTTTACATACGTGCGCGCGTTCCTGGRCGATATACCACAGCCAGGTAGCCCAAGTTTATAATTTGACTAGATTGCCCACTGAGTATATAATCACTTTATGGTTTCGATAGCTAACACATTTGTTAAGGGGATTCTAAGTCCAGAATATTTGTAAAGATGTCGGGAATTCATATAGTAAAGTATATATCGGACATTAATCCGAGTAAAAGTATTACATTTTAATCCCGAACTAAGTAGCCATATAGTTTTGGTAAATGATACTGATTCTGTGATTGAAAATCAGTTTTAATTTTATCGTATAGTCATAGCATGTCATAGCCACGAAACAAATTTCGGATCGCGGGAACGCGTCGCGTCTCACATGTAAGCACATGTATTAACAGACACATCCTAGAACCACACTTTTATATACATCAGTTCTCTTTTTCTTTCTTTCTTATTTTTATAAGATCTTACACCTTTTAGTCCTTTTATGACTTACCTGGGGATAATTCTTTTGTATGTTTTGTCGATATGCTTTACGCAAAGCGTGCTTCTCGGATATGACTCTTTTGTCACGCCACGCGGTCACGCTTCTTGAATCTCCATGACAACAAAGCTATCTTATTTTATTGAGGATCTGACGGTTTGARGTGGCTTTGTTTTCCAATGAAACAATTGGTGTATATTTGGTGTGTATCTGATCAGATTTTGTTGTGTCTTGGCTTCTGTTTTTATTTGTTGGACTTTTCATTTATGATGCGGTATTCCTGTGGTCACCATGGCGTTACATCGAAAAAGTTGATCAGCGGCTTCACTTTTGAGTTTTGACGTGTCGCCTAGCAACACTTACAAGCTGATCTTGCGCGCCATGATTGTTTGCTGTCTTCAGAAAAAGTGAGATTTTTTGGATGGTTTTGCCTTGAAAGGACGCAAGATAAACTTTAAGCRAATCGGTAATCCATAATAACAACATGGCTGTACAATACGCGCCTACAAAACTACGAGTTCCTCCTGGATTTCAAAACATATTGGAGGGATTTGCGCGCGAAGTTCTCCGTGAACAACCAGAGGACATCATTCAGTTTGGTGCTCAATACTTCAAAACACAACTCTCTATTAGAGATGGTAATGTATAACTATGATGAAAMTTTTAAGTAGTAGATTTTTATGTGCGAGTTTGAGATTTCAAGCGTTTTGTTTGACGAATTTCTTTAAACGGCAATGCCAAATATTTTGATAAGAAACAAATTGAGGTTGATTTATCGATTCTCAATTTGTTCCAGTCGCTATCTGTTCATCTGTAGGGGCATTTTCTGGTTTTATAGTCACTTGATTTTCAAAATAACGGTCTTTTTCAACTGCATTTTAACTGTTTGAGATAGTAAAATAGCCAMGAACGCGCTAAATTTTTCTTTAATGAAACATTTCTCATACTGTCTGTCAGTACAGATTTGATAGGTCTCTAGCTTTATCGTCAGCTTTTACGTACGTGATTTTCCTGCTTAAAAAAATTTATCTTGAAACTAATACTGTTCCAGTCACAGACTTAAAAATCCAAATACTAGAATCCAGTTTACGTTGTGTTTACATAGCGAGCAAATAAYCGCATACAAATATTTTCACTGAAACTGAAAAATTCCGAAGTCTCYTGTACAAAGATGTACGTTTGATAGTAATCAAACGGGGTTGATATGACATTTAATCATCTTAGGCATGCTTCAAATGTTCTAGAAAGAACATTTTTCAATATTTAGATGTTTAATTATCACAGCACTCTATGAATCTTTATGTACACAAAAGTGAAATTTAAAGATTTAACACCAACAAGCCACATTGAAGGAGAAGTTTACACACAAAACTGCACTCTTGAATACACATCTGCTCTAATTGGTCCTTAGTTTCAATAAAACTGTTGAGAATTTATAAGATAATTGTGGCCTATTTCAAATGCTGAATATCGCATGTACAAATTCTTTTCAAGTTATCCCAGTATTTTGTTTCTACATCATTATCATCTCATTTGCATTGYAGTTCATCACATGTGAGATTTCACATTTTGAGTCAAGTCTAAGAATATTAATTTAGGCCCAGCTGCCATAGTTCTTCTCTGTGAATTGATTAAGTTATATTTAGCTTCTCAAATGGTCTTTCCTTTCAACTTAAACTACTTAATGACCAGTAATTCATCATTTTGCATCCTTCCTGCTCCTTGATAATAAATACACTGTGACATTTGGTTCCATATAAGAGGATAAGAAATTATTAGAATACCAGTTAAGGGAGTGAATTTATCTCGTATCAAGTATAAAGCTGTGTGTCTCCTTTTAATATCATAGGTCATCTATTCTCTCCATAAAAAGACAGTAATATTATACKTTTATACACAATTATTTATTGACAAGTACAATGTTTCAACACTTTTTTTGTTTTTATGTGTGCAATCATTMATAGATTGTTTTGAAAATGTAGTGTCCAATTGATATATATTTATGATAAATGGTTAAAAAGAAAAGAAATCATTGAGAGCTCACTCTGTAACATTTCATTTTTGTCGTTACATAACAGTGTGATAGTAACTCCGATTCCTCATAACTTTCATATTCAGTATTGTTCAGAACAATAAATTGAATGTCCTAAAATTTGATCTCCATTTCCCTTGTAGATACAGGCAAAGATGATGCAAAGAGAGGAGAAAATCTGGAAAAACTCCAAAAAGGAGAAGAGGTTGACATAGATCTGAATGATCCAGAAGTCCAAGCAGCAGCAACGAAGATCCAAGCCAGTTTCCGTGGGCATAAGGTCAGGGAAGAGGCTCAGCATGTACGTGGACATAAGGCTAAGAAAAAGAGAGCTCAACAACTTAAAGATCAYATAAGTAGGGAATCCATTGGTAGCCCTACTCATTTAGATACTAAACCAACTGATGAGCCAATTGACATTGACTTGAATGACCCAGAAGTAGGAGCAGCTGCACTGAAAATCCAGGCTTCTTTCCGAGGACACAAAGCAAGAAGCGAAGTCCAGAAAATAAAATCATCAGAGTCAGTTGCCTCTCCAACTAAGGAAGATAATGAAAAGGAYGAAAAAGAAGCWGCTGAACAACCAGTGGCAGAGGAAGATCAGCCTACTGAAGGTGAGACATAATGATTGAAACATGAGCCTTCAATGACAGCTAACCCATCAATTGTTGATTGACAGTTTGTCATTTTTGATGATTTAATTATAACAGCTTGTTGAATTATGAAGCAGATTATTTACTTAATACTTACTACTTTAAATACTTTTTTTTATTGAACAAATACACACACACAAAACATCACATTTTACCACTTATTTACAATTAATGAGAGGCACACTAAGTATGCATCCCTAGATTTACTATACATAAATAAATAGATACTTGATGAAACTGTTCTCCACAGTGAAGCACTTGTTAATCCTATTCTGCTGTAATTATATTCTAGTGTCAAAAGATGAACCTTCAGGTGAAGTAAAAGAAACAAGTTCAGTTGAACAGAAGGCAGACTCCGCTCAACAGGAAGAAGAAATTGATATTGATCTGAATGATCCTGAAGTCAGCAAGGCTGCCACTAAAATCCAGGCAACATTCAGAGGTCATAAGACAAGAAAAGAAATAAAAGATTCCTCGCCATCTGAAAGTAAAGAATCAGTAACAGCTACAGAATCTGCTCAAGAAACAGAAGCGACACAACAAGAAGTTGTGACAGAACCTCAYGAAGAACCAACTGAATTATCACAGGAGCCAGAAGCACCACCGGCAGAAGCAGAGCCATCTTCAGATGATGTTGCAGGTGATGCTCCAGCTGAGGAACCAGCTCAAGAACCACCCACAGACTCACAAGATACACAAGAACAAGATACCATTCAACCTCAACAAGAGGAAACACAGGAAACACAGCCTTCGACTGAAAGTGCCCAAGAAAAAGATGAAGAAGAAACTACAGTTGTTGAGAGTGAGAAAGCAGAAGATGCTCCACAGGATGAGGGTGAAAAACCAGAAGCTACTCCACAGGAAGGAGGTGAAGAAGTACAGAATGCTGAGGCTGAGAAAACTGAGGATGCACCACAAGAGGAACAAGAGAAAATAGAAGCAGAAGGTGATAAGGGAGATGACGTTTCTAAAGAAGATGTTGAAAAGGCAGAAGATGTTGAGAAGACAGAAGATGTTGAAAGGGCAGAAGATGTTGAGAAGACAGAAGATGTTGAAAAGGCAGAAGATGTTGAGAAGGTAGAAGATGCTACACAGCAGGAAGCAGAGAAGACAGATGATGCACCCAAGGAACCCTTACAGGGAGAAGGAGAAGGTTCACCTCCTGAACCCAAAGAGGGTGAATCATAAGAACAATACCACATGAGAGAGATTTTTTATCAACAAACATCTATTAACACTCAAACAAAACTGTGGTAGCATGTACAGTAGTAAACAAATGTACAGTATTTAGCTAATGGCTTTTTTAAGAAATGAGATCACACATGAAGGTAAAGACAGCTGCCAAACAACACTTAGTGCACATACTGTTTTATTTGTATAAATTGTTATCTTTGGACACTAAGCTGTTTTTTATAACATGTAAAGTAGCAGTGTGGAGAAGGACTCTGTATTGTCATCAAAATAAAATGCTGGAAGAGGTTATAACATATATCAACTTTCTAATTCAAAAAATAAAACCTGATATAAATAAATTTTAACAAGATCCAAGTTTTGATTGAAGGCCTGTTTGTTCTGGGGTGCATATGTCAAATCACACGACTTCCATATAATAGGCATTCTAATTAAAAAAAGCAAAGAAGTTAGAGAATAAATTCCTGTACTGTATAAAAAGTCTAAACGTAAATGGACAGCATCAACACTCAGATTTTTTTACTATTTTTGGACTGGAAAGGAAGTGGGCAATGGGACCACCAAAACCAGACTCCTCCAAAAAAACTACCCCTGAAAAGGTTCTATWAAAACTTTTATCCACAACGGTAGTTCCAAGAGGGGATAGTCAAGGATAGTGGCTGGACTGTGTGGGCTTCCTGTGTATGCAATGAGTCACATGATTATTTGGCCTTTTTGGGGCGGGAAGTATGAGTATCGTTCTTTCAGAAAAACATCCTGGTGTTTCTTCTTCTGAAGTAAGTACAGTACCCTGTAAATCTTTCAATTGATATTTAATGTTTGAGTTACAAAATAAGTTAATGTACGATTGTTTTTCGACAATTCTTTTGATCGAACCTGTGTGAACCAGGTTGTTTGTATTGCTAGAGCTATATAAACAGTTCGTCTGCAGCAAATTTAGGTAGTTTGGGTTCGTGCGTCGCCTTTTCCTGTCATAAATTGTTTATTTATTTTGAGAGTATACGGCATCAATAAATATCCACCAAAGCAACTTGTCACGCGATCAATAATATGACGCTAATGGAAACAATGCAACAATAGGTTTTCTTGTTTGATAATCCACATACACTCCAAATATCCACAGAATCTCTAAACAGAATTCTATTTAATTTTTATATTAATAAAAAAATGTCTTTTTCAGTTAGATTTCAGTAGATGGTGAAAGCTAGAATATGGCTGTTATAGTGACGGATATCATCCTTCAAACGTTATCTTGTTTCTTTGTGTGGTCAACCATATACTGGTTTATTACTATTATTAATTCTAACAGAAGTAGCGAATGGAATTCCCGTCTRCTTGCAGTCACACATGCAATTTTRATCACYGCTTTGAGCTACTGGTGTGGATTCCAGACAGGTCCTTGGCCATTCGATGCTCTTGGTTTTCCAAATACTCCTTTGCAGACCCTAGTCCTTGTCATTTCCTTTGGTTATTTCTTATTTGACTTCATGTGGTGTGTTTACATGGGAACTGAGGGMCCTATAATGCTACTCCATCACTTAATRTCAATCCTGTCCATGATATATGGTTTGTTTACTAACCATTCTGGTGCTGAGATCATTGCAACAATATTTGGTTCAGAACTCACAAARCCTTTTCTGCAGCTACGATGGTTTTTACGAGAGACAAGAAACTATCACACAACTTTTGCATATTTTAATGATCTTGCTTTCATGGGATTTTTTTTCTACCTWCGGCTTGGTGTGGGTTCTTGTCTTATGTATTCTATGCTTGTTGCTGAGAAGCCAACTATTCTAATCAAAGGAGCAGGAGTGGGAATGTATCTGGTTGGAGTTATTTGGAGTMTCATGATACTCAGATTTGCCAGATACAGATTTTTTGGAAAGAGAAAAAACTYATTTTTTATGTGCCTTTAGAATTATGGTAATGTACTCGATAAGTGATTTCTAAAGTTTTGTACAAAATGATATATAATAATTGTTGATTCTATAATGTTCAATATAAGTATTGAAAATGAATATATTATATGTACAGTAGGTTACATRGTAAAAACTTTTTTATTCAATTTGAAAATATTGAAAATATGAATATTCAGTGTCCAAGGTAACATTTTTAGATATCARTAATTATTTTCTCAACATAATTTAGAGTAATTGAAAACTGTTTGACTAAAAGCTCAGTTAAAGTTCAAGCATAAAATCCATGATGCAACACAAACTAAGATGTGTCTGACATTGGTGTACAATTACTATTACTGTAGGATGGTATTAATAGTAGCACACAAGAGAAACAAATTCAAATGGTTGTATTTACTTCATTGTTGTGTGCATGTCTAACAGCGATCTTAGTTGTTGAGAACTGCAAGTGWATGTAAWGATTAGAAATCCAATAAAAGCATCCATAAAAGCCTTCAAATAGKACTTTTTTTCAAGGTGGCTAAACTTRGCCACTTCTAAAGATGGTATGGACCTCACTTCCTAATCATTTATCAGCATCTTGGTTTTGAGAAAGAGATATACACTTCCAAATTGGAATTCTGGTTGGCTCTTCTTCTTCATCAAAATCATCGTTCTTCTGTAGATGGAAATGTGATAAATAGTATAGCTTAGCATCTATAAAATTCTTTAAAAACAAAGAGATGGATGGYAAATAGAAAACTTGAGATGCAGAGGACTTTATATGTTTTGAAATGAAGCTTTTGGGTTCTTTTCTTTTTAAAAATATTGTGCATAAGAAGTTACAAAACCATATTTTTTAATTTCATACAATAAGTCAACTTATCCAATCAAGAAGAMAAGAGTTCCTGTTAACCTACCATTTTTTTGATGGCATAAATACCAAATTGCTCTAAACCTTTTTTGAAGACATATTTACCAGGACCAACAGGCTGCAGTAAAGATYATATATCATTAAGAAAGGCAAAGTGAGTTCTTTTCAATGCAATTTTGCATTTGATTCCCTTTCTGGGCCATTGGGTACCTACAATAGGTTTGCACCTTCAATATCATTGCATAATTTAATTAACTGCTCACCAAATTGTCACTGAATTTTCCTTCATAGGAATGGTTTTCAAGAATTATTCTTCCTTGTCCATTGAGCTTTCCTTTTTCCCAGGCACCTTGAAGCTTTACAAGAAGCAACCAGATGAAACCATTGCAAGAAATGAGATATGAACAACAAAAGTTTAAATGAGATAAAAAAAATTACATAAAAATAGCATCTTGTTCTAACTCATTAGCTTGCAAATATAGCTGATAAAGGCTAAATAAGAAAGGGGCTGTATTTGCAGTTAATTAACCAACTTTTGTTTATTTTTCATTACATGTAATCACTATTCATTACAGACTCGYTTTTCAGCTATTGACGCTTCATTCTGTGTATAAAATCCTAACAGCTGAAAACAGAGCCAGTTTTTCATTGTYGTACCTTAACTTTTGTACTTGCACATGTGTATATTCCTTTTCCATGTTTCTTATTTTTCTTCCATTCACCCTCATATATATCTCCATTTGCATATATGTATATACCATGGCCATGACGCTCATTATCCATCCACATACCTCAAAGTACATAGATCACATGAGTACCTAAATATACATCCATGACTATTATACTTTGCTGCCATTACCTTCATATCTGGAACCATCAGGATAAACAAAAGTTCCTCTGCCATTTTTTTTGTTGTTATCATAGCTTCCAATGTACCTTGCCCCGCCTTTTTTGAAGAAATAACTACCCTATTGAACATATAATAAGTAACTTAAGCTTATTTAA